TTAGCTGCATCCGATGCTGCTATGTACTCGGCTTCTGTAGTCGAATCTGCCACGGTTGGCTGTTTGGAACTCTTCCAACTGATAGCCCCACCGTTCAGGCAGAAAACATAACCTGACTGCGATCTGAAGTCATCTCTGTCGGTTTGGAAACTAGCATCGGTATAACCCTTTATAGCGAGCTCGTCTTCCAATCCGCCATACACCAAGAACAAATCCTTAGTCCTTCTCAAGTACTTAAGGATGTTCTTGACCGCAATCCAGTGAGCCTCACCTGGTGTAGATTGATATCTACTAGTCATGCTTAATGCATATGATACGTCTGGGCGAGTACACAACATGGCGTACATGATGGATCCAATTGCCGAGGCATATGGAATCCTACTCATGCGCTCTTGCTCATCCTGTGTCTTTGGACACTGAGTCTTGCTAAGAGCTACGTCATGTCCCATTGGCAAGGCACCCCTCTTGGAGTCTTGCATCTTGAACCGATTCAAGACCTTGTCAATGTATGTACTCTGACTTAGACCAAGAAGCCTTCTCGATCTATCTCTATAGATCTTGATTCCTAGAATATAGGCGGCTTCTCCTAAGTCCTTCATCGAAAAGACTGATCCTAGCCAGGATTTTACTCCTTGCAAGGTAGGAATGTCATTTCCGATGAGCAATATATCATCTACATAAAGCACAAGGAAGACCACTGCGCTCCCACTAACCTTCTTGTAAACACATGGCTCATCTTCGTTTTGCAGGAAGCCAGAGTACATACATTGACAAGGTCTTGAATCGGTTCAAGATGCAAGACTCCAAGAGGGGTGCCTTGCCAATGGGACATGACGTAGCTCTTAGCAAGACTCAGTGTCCAAAGACACAGGATGAGCAAGAGCGCATGAGTAGGATTCCATATGCCTCGGCAATTGGATCCATCATGTACGCCATGTTGTGTACTCGCCCAGATGTATCATATGCATTAAGCATGACTAGTAGATATCAATCTACACAAGGTGAGGCTCACTGGATTGCAGTCAAGAACATCCTTAAGTACTTGAGAAGGACTAAGGATTTGTTCTTGGTGTATGGCAGATTGGAAGACGAGCTCGCTATAAGTGGTTATACCGATGCTAGTTTCCAAACCGACAGAGATGACTTCAGATCGCAGTCAGGTTATGTTTTCTACCTGAACGGTGGGGCTATCAGTTGGAAGAGTTCCAAACAGCCAACCGTGGCAGATTCGACTACAGAAGCCGAGTACATAGCAACATCGGATGCAGCTAAGGAAGCTGTTTGGAGCAGGAAATTCGTGGGAGACCTGGGTGTCATTCCTAGCATTGCAGATCCCATTGAGTTGTATTGTGACAACAATGGTGCGATTGCGCAAGCTAAGGAACCCCGGTCACACCAGAGATCCAAACACATACTCAGGCGATTTCACTTGATCAGAGAAATCATCGACAGAGGAGACGTGAAGATAAGCAGAGTGTCGACAGATGATAATATTGCCGACCCATTGACGAAGCCTCTCCCTTCGTCAAAACATGATGGTCATGTTAAGGGTATGGGGATTAGATGCTTGTAGGATAGATCATAGAGCATAGTGGGAGATTGTTGGTTGTAATGCTCTAGGATGATCCGTGATATGACATTTTGACTTTGTATTGATTCATTGGTTTATGAATGCATTACATTCCCGTTATATGATTGGCATGTTTGTTATATTTCGGCATCCTTGAATCATTATAGGAATGATTCTAAACACCCTGGTCAGTTATCATTGTGGGAACAATGATGAATTAAGACCAGCATGATGTGTGATAGATGATTATGATCAT